GTGAAAAATTGGCTCAAAGTTGTGAAAAAATATGAATTTTCAAACACTTAGAAAAATTTCTAAGTTTAGAAATTTTGACTTTTCAAAATGAAATCTTGAATTTTTGATTTCTTGATGAACAAGTTTCATATTTTGGCATGTTTTGATGAATTGTGATCTTTGACATTTGATTTTGACCAAAAAGTTAAAGTTTGACTTTTCAGTGTACAATTGACTTTTCATCAGTCGATTGAAATTCAACTGTTAACCAATTGAACTTGAGGAATATTTTGAGCCATGCTATTAGGTAAAAATGAAGCAATTGAATCCTTGAGATCATGGCTTAAACCAATTAATCATTTGTTAGGTCAAAAATCAGAAATTACATCTTCTCAGTCAAAACCCTAATTTTGACCATTTTGCCCTTTTGATGATCTGATCAAATTTCTTGAGGAGTTGTGATCCAAACTTGATCAAGTGACATATATGAGTTCATAATGTTGATATGGATAAAAAATTATGAAGTTTGACTGTAAATTGACCACAATTGACTTTTTCCCCAATACAACTGATTTTAGGTCAACTGATCAATTGACTGAGCAAAAAATGTGATCCAAAACTTGAAACTTGACATGAGAAATCTTGAGGGTCCAAAATGATCCATGAAAGTCATATGAGGCATTAAAATTCCATTTGTCCTTGTGCAAACTCAAACCCTAATTTTCAGTCATCAGTGTTCGAGGAGGTGACTTGAGTTGATCAACCCTTGAGCAGTCTTGAACCAAAGGAGATCTTGTGAGAGATTACTTGAGAAATGAGAGAGCACATTTTGGGGTATAACACAAACTATCACACACATTTTTCTTCACGTGCATCACATCAAGGCAATGTCTTATGAACCTCTTTTTCCATATATTTTTCGCAACAACCACTTTTGATTTTTCTCTCTTCCTAAAGAAAACATTAATATTTTTATGTCGTTGATAAAATTCATCCCCAGTTAAAGGTTCGGGAACCTCATCAAACTCTTGCTCTCCATTAAAAGCCTCCCGCAATCACGATAAGGATGATCGAGTTTTAAAATTTTTTGATGTCCAAGTAAACAATATTTTTTCCAAACTCAAGTTGGTGATAACAAGTATCATCTTCACATATAGGACACACTCTATGTCCTTTGACACTATATCCAGCCAAGTTACTGTAAGCAGGAAAGTCGTTGATTATACAAAATAACATTGCACCCATCTTAAACTTTTCCTCAAAATATGCATCATCAACTTCAACACCTCCATCCCAGAAGAGTCGTAAATCATCAATTAATGGAATTAGATAAACATCTATGCCATTACCAGGTTGTCATGGTCCATAAATCATCATACTTAATAGTATATACTTGCGCTTTATGCATAACCAAGGAGATAGGTTGTAAATAGTGAGAAGAACAAGCCACGAAGAATGATTAGTGCTCAAATTACCAAAGGGGTTCATTCCATCTATGGCAAGCCCAAGCCTAAGGTTTCTTAGCTCGACTTTAAAATCCGGAAACAATGAATCATTTTTCTTCCATTGCAACGAATCAACTACATGGCGAATGTTTCCATCATGAGTCCTTTCATTTGTATGCCATATAAGATTCTTTGCGTCATTCGAATTAGGAAAAAGTCTCTTAAATCATGAAATTATTGGAAAGTACCATAAAACTTTAGCAGGAGGATGCTCTCTACTAACACTGTCATAGTCATTATCATCACCATTGTTGGCCTTCAGCTTGTAACACGACACACCATATTTCGGATATTGATACAAGTCTTCATACTCTTTCTTGTATAATATGCAATCATTAGGAAAAGCATGTATCTTGATATACTCTAGACCCATTGGACATAATATTTTCTTGGCCTCATAGCAAAGATCCGACAATTGGTTATCTTTAGGTAACATTTACTTTAGCAATTCAAGTAATTTTGTGAAACTTTTATCTGACCATCCATTTTTTGCATTCAGATTAAACAACTTTAACACCGCCGATAATCATGTAAAATTTGTGCATCCCTTATATAAAGTGGTTTCTTTATCACTACATAAAGTATCATAAATTTAAGCATTCTTAAAAGAATATTCTTCAATATCACAGAACATATCCTCTAGTTGATCTTCCATATATTCATCTTCATCCACTCTTTGACTTTGGGACGCCCGAATTTCCTCTTTATTCACCTCACCATGCCACGTCTATATTATATAATTTTGACATATACCATCACAACAAAGGTGATAGAATATTTATTCCTTTTTACCCTTATTGATATTTACGCAAACAACACAAGGAAAATAAAAGATACCATTATTGTCGGAAAGATGCTTATCAGCATATTCAAGGAATTCAAGAACTTTGTTCTCATAAACCATACCTAATCTATCGGCTTCCATCCAACTATGACCCATAACAACTTCTGAAATTTATACACGTATAATAATGTGAATGACACACCAAAATATAATCCAAAAACTAAAGCATATGCATATGCAAATATAAACCTAAAGCATATGAAAAATGTACTCTCATACTAACTTGAGCATATACAACATAAATAAGGAAAAAAGGAATAAAGATGTTGAAGAATACCGTACTTCAAAGCTGAAGAATCTTATGCACGTAAGGAATGAAGATGTTGAAGAGTACCGTACTTCAAAGTTGAAGAATAAAATGAACGAAGAGGGTGAATATTTGAGCATATACAACATAAACCAAGAAAAAAAAATGAAGATGTTGAAGAGTACCGTACTTCGAAGATGAAGAATCAAATGAACAAAGAGGGTGAATATTTGAGCTCTAAATGAATGGATACAAAAAGGGTAAAGATTACACCACCGTTGTTGTCTCTGGCTCGCTTGTTCGCATAGGGCATTTTATGAAAGAAATACAAAATAAGTTTCATTTTAATTTATCATTAAACCCTTTAATCGCGACTTGACAATCATAGTGGAAACTTAAGTCCTATAACAATGGTTAGTTTACTTCACCGTTGTTAAATCATTTACAATTTATTTTTAAAGTATGGATTTAAGTGACACACGCATAATGTACTCTAAAGAAAGGAAAAAAATGTATTTACTGGAAATCAAAGCTTGCTACACATCATTTATTACTACTGTATTTTAAGACAACCGCCATTAAATTACTGTTTATAAATCCATCTACTCATTGGGCACAAAAATTTTAACCTATTACAATGGTGTATATGATTCTATTGTTAACATGACGTTGTTGTTTGCGCGTTTTGTAGTATTGAATGTACTTTCATTTAAAAATAGTTTCATGTTTCTGAAAATAATTTAAATGATGTGTAATGGTGTTGTAAGGTATGTAATTATATTGTAGTTTGATATCAGTGTTTGGAATATGCGTGAATGCATTATTGTCGCTTGCTATACTGTTAATTGCTGTTGCAGAATGTTTATATCATATGTTTGGTGTATGGATGCCAGCATTAGCATGGTATTATTGATTAAGGTGAAGGTAAATGTAATTTTCCATTTTGGTGAGCCTCAATCCTATGGTGAGAATCGGGTGTGAGTAGCTGTTTCCAGGTGGGAATCACTGAAGCATTACCTATGGTGATGGTAACGATTTTTGGTGTGCTCAAATCCTACGGTGGGGATCGGGAGCGAGTGAATCCGAGAGTTCACATATTGGTATCACATGCATTGAGTCATGGTGTTGAATCTCATTAAATTACATATTTATTATGTTGTTGTGTGTTTGGATTGTGTGGAAGTGTGGTTGGTTGAATGGGTGATTATGCATGAAATAATCTGATGCTTACTTATTATTATGCATTGCTTTATATAATTGTGATATCTCACCCCTTCTATTTGAATGTTGTCGCCATGTGAATAACACACAAGTGATATATAGTGAAGGTGTGAATGTGAGTAGGAGAGAGTGCTCTTCATTATGCTTTTGTCGAGTCGACGTCTGCTCTGATATGTAACACTAGGGGTAGAACGCTTGATTGTTTTTATTTGTTAGAGATTTTATGATATCTCTTATGTTGAAATTCTTTATATTTACTTCATGCCATGATTTGTTTTGAGTAAGTAATTAAATAATTTGTTGATGCTTTCAGCTACAATAAAAATGAAGTTACACATGTTGATGTTTATTAGTATTACTATTCCGCCTAAAGAAATGTATGTGTTACATGTCATAATATATTATAAGCATGTTTATGTTGATGAATGTAACATCCTAATTGTATGTATGTTTTTAAATTACTCTGATTATTGATTATAATGACACGGGGAAAATTAGGGTGTTACAATAACTCGCTGATTCTCTTATTAAAATAAGTTTTACAACGACAAACTGCATTTATTTTAATTCGATACCTATATTCTTGAGAGCATATTTTGTAAAAAATAGACTTTGTTTACTTTTTTTTTTTTTAACTCTTTTCTTTTTGAAAGAATTTTGGTATAATCCCCTCTCTATTTTATTCCAATTTTCTTTTTAATATATATTATCTTATTAAAAGAAATCGTAAATATCTAAAACTATTATTACTTGTAGTTATATTACAAACTAATGATTTAAAATATTTATGATCTTACATACACACGAGTCTTCTATTAATTGTTTTAAAAAAAATGTAAAATAATTTTTTTATTTAATATTTTGATAACGAATTTTGTTAACTTTTTAGAATTTCATATTAAAGAATACAAGAATTACATATTATGTATTAAAATTTCTAAGAAATTGAAATCAGTAAGATTTAATTTTACATATTTTTTTTAAAAAAAAACTAAAGTAAATAGCTCACATTAGTGAGTAGTCTAAAAAAAAAGAGTATTTCCACAACCACTCCGGCACCTACCGACCGCTACCGGAACCGCTCACACATTATATTTTCCTTTTTCAATTCCCATCCTTCAACAGCGTGTGAGACACACCACCACCACCTTCTCTCAAAACCCTAAAAAAAAAATGTTGTAAATATCAATAAAAATTTCCAAAAATGGAGAGTTGGTTCTCATCTTCAACCTCACCGAGTGACGATCAGCAGAAACCAGCTTCTTCTTCTTCATCTTCTTTGCTTGCTGATTGGAACTCATACGCTACATCTCAACAGGAGCAAGACTCTTCCAATTCCGCCATCAGCTTCGATCTTGAATCCGCTGTTAGATCTGCTAACAACACTGTCACTGGCACTTTCAGCGTGTAACTTTTTTTCCTACTTGATCTTCATTCCAACTGCATTCTATATGTATGATTCAATTAGGCTTTCTTTGAGTTTTTGTTTTTTTTAGGAATCAGTGTTATGCTAAAGTGTGTTTGAACTCCGTAAGAGTAGAATTAGAAATGCTTCATTCTATTCACGAACACAACACGTTGTGATCTGATTGCAGATATTCTTATTCCATTTATAATATTACAAAAGTTCAACGGGAAAATTATATGGATAAGCAAAATGCTGTAGAAGTTTGGTTTTTAAACCAATTAATTATGACTTTTATGGACTCTGATGTTGAGCTTTGGTTAGTTAGTTCAGGGAGTGTGAGTTAGATTCAGGAAGGTATAGGAGAGTGATTGGGAATGAGAAGTTTAAGTATCTTATGAGACGTGATCTCTGTAGAACCAACACTTTTGAAACAAGGCATGTCTGTGTCTCTGTCAGAGACACGACACTTGTGATTACGTTTAATTTATTGATTTTTTAAATTATTACCGATGTCGACGTGTCGGTATCGTGTCCGGTGTCTGTGCTTCATAGGTTGTGATGATCAAACGCGGTGTACTGCTCACTGGAAGTGTTGTTAGCTAGTTTCTTTGTTCTCCTTAGCTAGTTTCTTAATTCTCCTTAGATAGTTTCTTAATTCTCCTTGAAATAGTCATTCATAGTAGTCGGTTGTCACTCAATAGCGCAGCATTGTAGTGTGATATTAGAGGAGCAGATCAAAGATGCCCCCTAACTGCTATTTCTTTGTTATGTTGTATTTTTATTTGTGGCAGAGATGGCGAACTTCGCTGTTGAGACCGTTAGGTTTCAGAATCCTTCTTTTGCCCATGTCGCGTGCTCGTTTCTGAATAATTTAGAGAGAAAATTGGGATTTTGTCCCTCCTTTTTTTCATATAACAACAACCAAGCCTTATCCCACTAAGTGAGGTCAGCTACATGGATTAACTTCCCCCATAATGTTCTCTTATAGAAGTTATGTCCCTCCTTTTTCCAGATATAAGAGTTAAATCCTTTATTTCTTGTTACATTTTCAATCAAAGAGCCTCCATATTTAAAAACTTTTGAGCTTCCTCTATACCAAGCCCACTATTGTCTAGTGTCATTTTGGTCATGTTTGCATGTTTTTGGCATCATTTTGTTGACTCTTCTTCACATGCTCAGATTTCTTCATATATGATAATCTTTCTTTTTTTTTCTGTTTCGGCTCTTTTGATATACATTTTCTGTTGTTTGCATCCTAGTGTTTTTTAATCGCTGTTCCTTTTTATTTTATGGTTCTCTCACATTACTCTCAACCTTGTTTAGGGTTTTTGAAGTTCGATTCATTATTGCTACTCTCACATGCTCTAGTTTCGAGTTTATTAGTTTGTTCGTCATCATTTCTATGGTTATTGTAAATGCTTAAATTAAAACCAATGACTTTTTTTATAAGTTATGACATACCTTGAATCTTGAGCATTAATGTTATAAATTACTCAACCTTTATCTAAAGTTTTAGCATAGCGGCCATCCTGTTGTAGCGTTTTTGGCGTTGGCCTTTCCTTGCTACTTGCTGGGACTAATAACTATGCAGTCAGTGTAGTGTAGTACTTCAAATTATTGAGATACTTCGCAAATGGCTCTCCTGGAAGAGGATTGATCCTATAGAGGCTATACTGCTTTTGTTGCCTACACAGATGTAGACCCCAAAGATATATAGTAGGCCGTCTACTTTAGGTTATTGTGTTCTTATTTGAGGTAATCACATTGCTCGGGAGAACAAGCAGAATATTGTTGATAGATTAGTGCAAAGGCAGAATACTTAGTTATGACTCTTATCACACGTGAACCCATATCGCCAAAACAATCTCTTTTTGAACTAAAATTTTGTGAGTAAGGACTACGAATCTGATTTCTCCCCCAAACGTTGTCTCTAATCAAGTTTTTCATTAGCAAACATAACATATTGGTATAGACTAAAGAAAAAGTTTTATCTAGAGAAATGACAATATCATTTAATCCCAATGATCAACTGGTGGATGTGTTCGTTAAGTCATTCACAAGTTTGATGCATATGTTATTATGTCATACGTAAATTAGCATGAAGAGGAGTGTGAAGAAGATTCACTATGATTCCTCTTCTTACGTTTAGTTTTCAGTTGTATTTAACACATAACTAGTTAGTGACATGTTTCAAGTAAAAATGAAAACCATCTCTTCTCTTGGAAATGGTTTAGCTTATTTATACTTCCTATAAATTGCAGACTGCAATTTTCTTATTGTGCATCTAATCACTACATGCTGTATTCATTATTCTTAACAAACTCAGTGAAAGATCATTATGCTTATTGGGCAAATTACTTTCTTTTTGCATGAATTGTCTGCATTACAGTGAAAGATCATGTTGGGAAGAAGCATTATGTAGCACAACCACTAACTGTTTTGCTTGAAATTATGACCTCAGTTAGTTAAACAATTTTCTTTTAATATTTTTTAGGGTTTCTAAAAGTGTGAGAGATATACCTGGAAACTTCTCATCTGCGACTAGCAATGTTCCTTCTGGAAAAGCTCTCCTGTATTTTGGTTTATTTCTGGCCAGCGGTGTCTTCTTCATTTTCATTGCATTTACCTTGTTCCTGCCTATCATGGTGGTTATGCCCCAAAAGTTTGCTATATGCTTTACGCTAGGGTGTGGGTTTATTATTGGATCGTTCTTTGCACTAAAAGGGCCAAAGAATCAGCTTTCTCACATGATGTCGAAGGAGGTAGGTTACCAGAATTTCGTGTCTTTGTTTTCAAATTTATAATATAACTGCACATTTCATTATTTTTATGTTGCTTAAGTGAGTTCATTTAAGTTCTTAGTATAATAATCCCTATGATTTGATTGCATTTTTTATGCCTTCTCATGACTCTGTCCCCCTTTTCAAATTTATAATATTACTGCACATTTCATTATTTATATGTTGCTTCAGTGAGTTCATTTGTGTTCTTAGTATAATAATCCCTATGATTTGATTGCATTTTTTATGCCTTCTCATGACTCTGTCCCCCTTTATGATTTTTTTCAGAGGCTCCCATTCACACTGGGGTTTTTATGCAGTATGGTTGGCACCATTTATGTATCTATGGTGTTACATAGCTACATTCTCTCTGTTGTATTCTCTGTTGTACAGGTATTAATTTCATGGATCCTTAATAAGTTGGAACGTTTGTCTGTTGCTTTGCCCTTCCCCTCCTGTAACTATTAGTATTTGCTGTGGTTTGAAGTATAGTGGCCGTAAAGTAAAATCTTGAATTTAAAGAGAAATGAATCATTCAATAACACAGCTTGATAAATTTGAGAGTTCCTATTTCTACAATTTTAGTGGCTGGATTTATATGATGATGGGTGTTGGTTCCATGACATGGTTCCAGCAACCAGAGTGTAGAAATAGATCTTAGATATTTTTGAATATACTATTTATTCTGATTCTTCCTAAAGGCTAATCTTGTATTGAAAATGATGCTTTGATTATACTTGCAGGTTCTTTCACTTGGATATTATGCTATATCATATTTTCCTGGTGGATCTGCTGGAATGAGATTTCTGACTTCTGCTTTAACATCCAGAATAATGACTTGTTTTGGGAGGTGATTTGGTTTTCGTTGTTATTGTGATTACTTTTTTGAGAGGAGGGGGTATCAGATCTAAACTCTGTCTATAGATAGCTGAAACAACATCGAACTGACCCAGGACAGGATAAAGCTGAGTTGAAACATCATCATTTAACATGTCCTATAATTTCAATGTTTGTTATCACCTCTGAAAGAGAAAATCAGTTGATGTTTTTGCCCCAAGTTGTAACTTTTATTCTTTATTGTATGCTAATGAGTATGAATTCCCACATCTGTATGACGTACGGGGGCCGAGGGTTTGACAATTTTCCTCTGCAACAGAAATATTGGATACAATTTTCCTCTGCAACAAATGTATAGGATTACCATTAGGCATCACTGCTTTGCATTATCCTTATTCCTAATTAAATAGGCACAAAAATGACATTTTACGTCTATAATAAGAATCAATTTGAGTAGGGGAAATCATTGATGCCAGCCTTAATCACAACCTATTTGTAGCACCCCACAGACTTATAAGCACTGAGACTTATTGTGCCATTGACCTTTTAGTGTCATCGCTTTCATAATTCTTGTCACAATGCTTGTTATAACCTTCACCTATTATCTTTCAAAATCATATATTTTTTTTTATAACATCAATAATTGGATTTTCTAGAAAAATCTGCCATGATTGAGTGATAATTTCATCCTCCTTCAATTGAAAATTTGTTATCTATTCACAACCAATGTGAATCCAATTTCTTCACAAAAATTAAAATTTTAAGTCATAACAAAATTGTGATATTTGAGACTTACGATCATTAGATTGCATGCCACCACAACATATTCGAACTACACGAGACATATTGAAGTTAGTTGGTTGAGATGATTTTTTTTAATAATAATACTATTACATTGTATGAAACGTGATAAAAGGGCCCATTAGACAAAAAAATGTTTATTGAATGAATGAAGTGTATTATAAAGGGAAGATGCCAATACTTTATATATCAATTGGGCCTTCACTAAAGGACAATCCAAGCCCAATAAATAAGCAACAAAACAACAACAGAAAACTAACTAAATTAACTATAAAAGTGGAAGTTAGGTAAGCTTAGAGAGGTTTGATGAAAAAGGCTTCAAGTCTAGAGGTTTCGTGAAGAGGTCTGCAAGCTGTTGGGAAGAAGACACATGTAGGAGATGAAACAAACTAAGTTAGAGCTTTTCTCGTACCAGTTGGCAATCCAAATCAATGTGTTTGGTGTACTCATGGAAGGAACATTTATTTGCGATGTGTCAGACAGAAGCGTTGTCACAATAGAGAATAGCTGGTTCCATGAAAGAAATTTGAAGTTCCATGAGGATGTTTGTTAAATATTGAAGTTCACAAACTGTGGAGGCCATGACTCTGTACTATGCTTCAGTGGAGTTGCGAGATGCAATTGACTGTTTCTTTGATTTCTAGGAAATTAGTGAATCTCCTAGGTAGATGCAGAAGCCCGTGATTAACTTACGAGTGTTTGGACATGTAGTCCAGTTTGAATCTGAGAAAGCTTTGAGTTACAGAGATGAGTGGCTTGAAAAAACTAGTATTTGACTTGGAAAAGTCTTGAGATAACGTAGCACTCTAATGGCTACATTGTAGTGAATGTTGGTAGGATGACTCATATGTTGGATGAGGTGTTGGATAGAGTATGAAATGTCATGCCTTGTGTTCATCAAATATATGAGTTGTCCAATAAGTCTTCTGTATGCAGTAAGATCTTGCAAATGTGTGCCTTCATTGGTCTTTAATCAACATAAATGAGCAATGCAATAAAGTTGTCATGATATTGATGGATAAAAAGGGAGTGATCAGCATAATATTGTTTGAAATCACTGGTTAGCAAAACATTAGATAAATTTTAAAATCGTTGTCTACTTGATTGTTTCAATCCATAAAGAGATTTTAAGAGTTTGTATACTTAATTTGGATAAGAAGGTGTAATGCCTTTAGGTAATGATATGTACACTTCCTCATCCAAATCTCCATGAAGAAAAGCATTGTGAACATCAAGTTGATGAAGATGTAAATTTAATGAAGAGGCCAAGGCAAGAAGTAATCTTATAGTTGTCAGATTTGCAACAGGAGAAAAAGTGTCAAAGAAATCAATACCTTTAACTTGTGTGAAGTCTTTAGCAACTAATCATGCTTTGTGTCTTTCAATGGTGCCATTAGAATTGAATTTGGTCTTGTAGACCCATTTGCATCCTATTGCTTTTTTACCTAGTGGGATGGGTGTGAAAGTACAAGTTTGGTTGTCTATTAAGGCTTAAATTTCAACATTCATAGCCTTAATCCAATGAGGATGGACACTATCTTACTTGAAAGTAGTAGGATCACAGGTAGTAGTAATGACAGAAATAAAAGAGTAAAATGCAAGAGAAGTGTTATGATATGAAATATATTTTGAAATGTCATAAAGAATAAGAGTATGATATGCATTGCAAACAAAGTCATTAAGATATGCAAGTGAGGTTTTATTTCTAGTAGATTTTTAATGGTAGATAAGTTGGTATTGTCTGTGGAGGTGGCATGTTCACTATCAGAGATGTTATTAGTGGGTTGGACAAGTTTACTATCAAAGATGTTATCAATGGGTTGGTCAGGTTCACTATTAGAGATGTTATTAGTGGGTTGGACATGTTCACTATTAGACTGATGTTTATCATGATCAATAGGAGAATTAGTGGGAATATGTGTAGTAGACTGAGAAGAAAGGTTTTTATCAATAGGGTTAGGGGGGAGGGTATGATCTATAGATGTAGGGAAGACAAAAATGAAAAAGGGTGATGGATTGGTTAGTGTCATGAAAGAGGTTCAAAATTGTTGTTGGTCTTGTAATGAGAAATGTAAGGGAATATGTTTTCATAGAAGACGCAATTTCTGGAAATGGTAGTAGATATATAATTGAGATAAAAAGAGGTAGTCTTTATTGCCATTAGGGAAACCTAGAAATAAACACTTGATTGCCCGAGGGTCAAGTTTATCTCTATGTCTTATGATAGGTTAAACATCCAAAGGTTTTGAGGTGTGTGAAAGACGGAGGTTCTTTGAAAAGAAGTTCACAAGGAGTATAGTTTTGGGTAGTTAGACTGCATAATATATTGATCAACTATGTGGCAGGGCAAAGAGAAAAAGATCAGAAACATCTAGGTAAATTGGCATGAAATAAGAGGGATCTAGTAACATTAAGAAAATGCCCGTGTTTCTTTCAACAGTGGAGTTCTATTAAGGTGTCTCTATGTAACCTCTTTGATAAAAATGCGAGGAATGAATAATATAAAGGCATAATAAATTAAGTGCCATTGTCACTTCTAATGGTTTTGATTTCACATGAAAACTAATTTTGACAATAAGCAATGAAGTTCTGAATGCGAGTTCTAGTTTCAGATTTATGATGCATGAGAAAAGTTCAGATGTAACGAGTAAAGTCATCCACAATAGTAAGAAAATATTGAAAACCATCCAAATAATGCACATATATAGGTCCCTATATGTCCATATTAACTAATTCAAAACAAGTAGTGATTATATAGTTACTAACAGGAAAAGGAAGTCTACATTGTTTAGCAAAATGACAAGTATGATAAAGGAATTTTTTTATTTTTTATATTTGATGCTAGAAAGTTTTTGAGATATATGGTGTAAAACCTCATTAGATGGATGTCCTAATATATGATGCCATAAATCTAAATTGATAGAAGAATTAATATCTTCCAAACTATCAAAATTACAATCATTATTGTGTGTGAAATTGCAAAGAGAATTATGGACATGGACTTTGCGGATAATGTAAAGGTTATTATGATGAACCACTTGCCCAATCATTCTTTTGGTAGACACATTATGAATGTAACGGGAATTGTGTGAAAATGAAATGTTATAATGTGAAGTTTGGCATAATTTAGAGATGGAAATAAAGCTAAACCTAAATTCAGGAATTTGTGCAGATGAAAATAGTGATCAAGGATAATAGTGCAAGAGAAATTTGCAGTAATATGATTCCCATTGGGAAGATGGATGTAAATAGGACCGATGAGTCTAATATCATAAAAACACTTGATGCAGGGGCATACATGGTCAGATGCCTCTGAATCAAGGATCCACATAGATGATAAGTTAAATGCAATACCTGTATTGAGGATACATGAGATTATGTGGCTGTCAGCATTTGGAAATTTATTAGCCTTGGAATTCTGAGTGTCTTTCTTTGATTCTTAAAGAAGAAGTAAGGGTTGATAATCCTCCTTGGAAATGACACCATATTTTTTTGGATTATGTATGGACTTGGACTCCGAAGATGATTTTGTATTCTTGCTTCGATAACCTAGTGGAAAACCATGTTTGAAATAACATGTTTCCACCATGTGATTCGTTTTGTTGTAGTTGGTGCAAAGCATTGAATTCCTAGAGTTACCTCTTTCTTTTCCACGACCATTATTGATATTATTGTTGCCATATAGAATAGTAGGTTGACAACGAAAGTTGTAGGTGAAACAATTTCTTGTTAAATAATAAGAGAATATACTCGATTGATGCTGGAAATTGGGTCAAGAAGCAATATTTGGGTGCAGATGTTTTGGTAATTATCGTTCAAAACTTTCAAAAAACACGATACACATTCCATATGCTTCTAACGTCAATAACTTGGCCAAATTATAGGCGCAGAGAACATGACATGAATAAATAGGGGTTGGTCGAATTTCTTCAAGCTCATCCCAAATAATCTTTATATAAGTGAAGTATTGAGAAAGGGATCGATCACCTTGTTTGATGGAATGAAGATCACGAAGAAAATCTAAGAAACAAAAATGGTTTCTTTTGGTGAATCGTTCTCGAAGATCTTCCTAAAGATTGAAAGTTGAATCGAAGCAAAGTGTGTTTTGTGCGATGTGAGGTGAAAGAGTTATGTTGATCCAAGAAAGCACCATACTATTTGCACAATCCGATATCTCGAAGTTAGGGTATGAGGAGATCGGTTTGTTGAGAGTTCT